TTCACAAACCAGAAGTACACAAAGAACAAAATAGCTTGCTAAAGGCCATGAATTAGGAAAAAGAATCAGAGCTGGGACTAGAAAACTATGGAGAAAGGCAACAAGAATTATCACAGAATGGAAGAGGTTTTGTTTGAAGAGAAGCTAAAAAACAGAGCTCTATGACTTGGAGAAAAAACGCTGCCATTTATGAAAAAAAAGAAAAGAACCGCTCCCATTTATGAAAAAAAAGAAAAAACCCGCAAGAGTAGTAAAAAGCAGATGAACAGGAAAAAGACCGTTCATAAATTTCTCGGAATATAAGAACTAGGAGTCACCAAATGAAATAAGGTGGTGTGGTTCGAAACAAACAAAAGGAAGTACTTTTTCACCCAGCACATAATTATATTATAGAATTATTAGACACAGGATGTTGCAGAGGCCAGAAATACAAATAGATTTAGAATTTAAAAAAAAAGAAAAAAGGCACTTTATTCTGTGAATTTGCCTAATCTATCAAGGGCTACTAAATGCAGTGACGCAGATGCTGCTTCCCTTTTCGCAGGGCCTTCAGACTCTGGCCGGTGAGGTCTGAAGCAGCACGCCGGGGGAACTGCACGTCCCTGCTATGTCCCGTACCCATCTGCCGCTCAGCCCTGTCGGACAGGCAGGGATGGTACGTCGTCCAGCATCACTCTCACGATGAGGCTGGCCAACTCCTTAGCTTGTGTTCAGATTGCTGGATCACTTACAGTAACAGGGATCGACTCAACTCACAGACAGACCTCTAGGCAGTTTGATCAGACCCTCTTCTGATTTTAATCAGCAGAAGTCTGGTGTAAGGACAGAGGTACTCAGATTCTTGCAGGAGTGACTGCTGCACACCATGAGAACCCGTTCCAGTGTCTGAAGCCATCAGCCACAGCAAGCACACCGGTGCCCTCCTCATCATTATCGTATCCGAACTGCTGAGGCCTTTCTATTCTGTGTTCAAAGGATATTAGCATTTTTTGGTTTGTAGGACACGATGTCAGCATGACCTTCTTGAAACAGTGTCTATCGGAATGAGCTTTACAGAGTTGAGAGACATCCGTTTAGAGCTATGTCACGTCAGCTTGGCGATACTGTCTCTTATTAAACCAGAAGTTTAAATGCAGGTGTCTGTCTTATAGGCACCAGAATTCTATACCTACTTTAATTTTGTTGTTGTTGAAATGCATTTTGCACTAAAATCCAAGATTTATTTTCCCTTTCAGAGAGAAAGGGTTTGTTTGGTTTTTTTACTGTATGCCCTACTGTGCTACAACAAAATGGAAGTAAAGGATTTTACCAACATTTGCTTTATAAAAAGTGTCCAATCTACATGACTTTGAGTAAAGCAGTTACTGTCACGCAACTTTTGAAGTTTCCTGTAATTGCTATACATGAAAATCTATATATTACTTGAAAAAAAAAAAAAAAAACTTTTTAAAAGTGACGAGTATATAATGAGAAAGCAGTTCTTGGTAATTTGGGGCACTGCAAAAGTACGACTTATATCCAATTAATGTTTGACTAGAAATACTAGAAAACTTTCAAAAGACTCAGTGGCAGCTTATTTACAAATATACTATTTATAATGAATGCATTGATACAGAATGACTCTTATAAAAAAGCAAGGCAATCTTTTATATAGACATAACAATCAACATTACAATAATTCAGATTAAAAGTACATTTTTGTAGACTGTTTACACTCTTGTTTAGCTTTTAACCACAAAATTAGCGTGGTCTGGTATTTTTCCACAGCAAAAGTCCTGTGCAGTCCTGGTTAAGACCTAAACATCAGAATAAACATAATTTTCTGATCTTTGCTAACGTAAAAACAAAAACCATTTGTAGATATTACCATTTGTTTGTAATTGTCCTTACTGTGCCTCAAAGTTTGTGTTGTGCAAATTACTGCCAACTGCACATTTCTAATTTCTCATTAGAAGCTATTCTGGCATGCCGATTTGATACAACCGGGGTGCGATACTGACCACGTGAAAATTGTTAATGGCATCCAGATATGAAGACCTCCCTGATATGGGTTTGTACGGATTCAGAAATTTAATTTACTTTTGGGTTTAAAAAAAAAAAAAAAAAAAAAAGAAAGAAAAAATAACCTTTCAAAGTTTTCTAATTGTTAAATAAAAGGTATTTAAAGGTAATTTTCAAACTCCCAGGATTAAAGATGATACTTGAATTCCAGGTGACACAATGGGTTTAAGTGCTAACCAGCTAGACAGTTTGAGTAATAATTTACTAAATCATGTACATGAGCAAACACGACCTTCAAGAAGTCTGAACATGCACTTTCTCACATACTAGCAAAAGATGGACAAAACTGCAGAGAAAACCTTAAATCCGAGAGGCACTGAAGCAAGTATTCTACAACCCAAATCTTTTTCTAAAAAGGGTGTATGAATTTCAAAGTTCCCAACAGCATCTGGCAAACGGAAAAGTGCCAATTACACAACTGCGTGACCCAACTTTACAGGCAGCATTTCCACTGCGTTTATACTAGACAACTTTGGTGACGACCCTAAATATGGGACAGCCAGAGACAGAACTTTAACAGGTTTATACTAAAAGAAAACATTTTTGCAAAGAATTACCAAACAACTTTCTGTTTTGTAAATTTAAATGCAATACGTGACCAACATGAGTCACAACGGCAATTATTCCTTCTTTTCATTATTCAACAAATCCCTAATCTGCTTTACACCTTACCAGACTACCATAATACTATATAGTCTATAGTACAGTAATTTCCCTTGTTAAATCAGGGCATGATTCAGGATAGTGTCTTTATGGGGCATGTGTATATGTACATACTCTTATGTACACAGGCACAGACACATACAAAATGGATATTTTGTCTATGGGCAAGCAATCAAGGCCATGATTTTCACCCAAAGTAAAGATTGTCACACTTTTCAATAACCCTTCTAAATTATTTCCCCCAGTATGGCAAGGGAGATAAATATTTAATACAAGTATCTGGGAACCACCTGTTTCTCCATCTTGTTTTGAAAGACGCCATAAAGAATTAATTTCTCCACCTTATCTATGCTTTCATACATATATAGATACACATATACATATATGTATGTATGTATACATACATTTGTCAGGATGAAGTTCTTTCCATTCATACTTTAATTGATTAGGCCAAACAAAATTCTTAAACATGTATAAGCTACCATTTGTGTCCAACTGAATGTCATCAGGCATTAAATACAATTTAGAGACCCCACCAGTTAAAAATCCAGCATCCTGGGAAATGCAAGTATCTTATGTCAGGATGTAAGACTTTTGAATTATCAAAACAACTGGATTTATATGGATCTGTGCACAGATTTGGATATAAATCCATGTATGTACTTATATGGATTTATATAGATCTATTCCCAATCCATGCCACACATTTAATACTTAAACTTTCAGATAATTTTAAAGAACTTTTCAAATTCTTCTCTCACACTGCTTTTATTCAAATCTCTCTTGAGACACTGAAAAAATAAGCGTGCACCTCAGAACGTATAAAATTAAACTCCTAAAACAGGGCTCAGGATTATCTGGCATTGCAACAACCATACTAGTACAAAGATAGTTTGAAAAAATATCCTGTTTTTAATATAGTAAGGAATTAAAACATAGCTTTATTTATTCCTATAAGTGTAATGAAAAGAATAGTTTGTTTTTAAGCGAGTGTAACGAGCACTATTTTGGTAGCCAACTTCTCCACAATAATTTATGTGAGAGAGGGTCAGCTCCAACCATACAGTCATTAACCATGTACCTTAACAAGGTGAATAATCAACATATTTACAAACTAAACAAATTCAATCCCGTCAACTCTTATAAAAATGGGATTGAGGAGCAGACAGGGAATGAGACCAAGATGCTTGAAAACACAAGGGGTCGCCACTTTTGTTTTAAGGAACCATATTAATCAAACCAGTTTCCCCTAGTGACCTGAGGGCACAAATACGGATTTAGCAGTATATTCGGAAGTCAGATTACAGTCTTGATACTAAGCATTTCAGCATCCTCATATTTTAACACCTTAATGCTGAGAAAGATTCATTTCAGGCAGAACTGTAAGGAACTAGCCTTTTATAAACTAAAGTCTAAACTGAAAAGCTACAGTAGATGTAAAAAAAAGGGGGGGGGGGGAACACAGAGAGACAGAGTGTGTGAGAAAGAACAGAACATTACTTAGTAAAATCCAGTGACATCTACAATAATTTTACAGCATGTTTAAGCCCTCTAAGGTTTTATATCTCCACCTGCCTTCCATTTAAACTTACTCCTTGTTAATGAAAAGACATACGACAAAACAGAATGCAAATAGATCAAGGCAATAAGTCTAAGTAAGCATGCCTGAAAGCCAGAAATAGTATTACCCAAACTTCTGCATGTGAAATAGATTTCCCATGGCATCGGTTGATTTGATTTTGTTCAAAAGGTACAGTCCTCTAAGTCACACTACCCCAGCAGTAATTCCAATGAGTATAAACTGGACAGTTCTTGAGTAACCATGGAATGCAACCACCTCGAGTTCCTGCCCTCTTGAAAAAGGACAACTGGCCCTACAAGTGCAGCAATAGTATAAATCTCCCTGAAGCATCTTCTGCCTTTTAAACAACCAAGAAAGTCATGATAAAAGTGAATGTCCACTACATACAGTGTTTCTCGTGAGCTACCAACACCTATGCACAAATGAAAAAGGTGCCTCTTTTTTAATAGATTGGTTTAATACTGAAACAGATAGGATGAAGTTAAAAAAGAATAATCAAGATACTGAACTGAATATTTTGAAGCAAGTGCCCCAGCTGTGGGGAAAAGTGCATTTAGTTCAGCAGCAAAACAGCACAGTGTGAAGATATTGTGCTTGGACACACAAGTTCCATAATGGAAGGAGGTACAAGGCAAGTCAAGATATAAAACCATAGTACATTGTTAACCAACCTTAAAACTTACATATATTGCAGTGTTTACAAGTAAGACACATTCATTTATTGTACAAGGACTATAAGGAATCCTTAAAATTGCCTGTTGTATTATGACTCAACATTGTAATAAAAATGTACATATATATTATGCCCTTGCCACTTAACTGTACTGTTAGACCTCATGGACTTGTTACTTCACAAAATGAAATCCGCTCTTCACTGAGGATACTCAACATTTTTACCAATCTGAAAAGGTTTACTTGTGCTAGAAAAGACCAACCGCAAAAGGCTCAGTTCAGATATGTTATGCCTGCAACTGATAACTCAGGGAAGCAAGACTTAAAAGAATTCAAGCTTTTTTTTCTTTTCTTTTTCTTTTGTTTTGACTGCATCCTTTTCACCTGCCAGTTGTTCTGATGAGTGTATGTTTTTAGTATACAAACCGGTTGATAAAAATTCATCAGCAGAGGCATATAAATTCTAGATATGATTGATTAAAACAGAGCAAATCAGAATAAAACAAAATCCAGTGATTTACTCTGACTGTAAACAATATAAAAACACCATTTGCTTCAAATCTCAAAATAAGTTAAAAGAAAATCCCAACCACATGACCCTTTCAGGCTTTGACACAAAAAAAAAAAAAGAGGGAGGAAAACAGAAAAGTTCATTATATAAAGGTTATACATTTCTTTTAACTGAAAGTAAATTCAAGCAAAACTATTTTTGTCCCTTAAATTTAAACTTTAAGTTCATTGACAATTGCTTTAAATGAACTGGCATTTCCAGATTATTCAGACAACTTCCATCAAATTCAGCAAAGAAAACTTAGACAAGCATTTTTACAGAATAAAAAAAAAATCTAAATGGCTATGATTCCTCTATTAGCAGAAACACATAATGCAGTCTTAAATTTGCCTTTTTATATTATTTATATATTTATATATATATAATATAATATAAACCATATATATTATATTATATATACATATACAGACAATTACAACATTAATGCAGTTTGTATTTTGTACAGTGTATTGGACAATCCGATGAGCATCAGACCATGGCACGATATGGTCCCTGCATTTTTAGGAACTGAATGATGAAGGAGGGTCCTCCTGCAACAATCTGAGGTGGAAGGTGGCTGAGCGGGCAGTTCTCGATACTCATTATTGACAGTTTGCTGCAAAGAGCCAGCTCAAAGGGAAGGCTGTGCAGATTGGGGTTGTCATTCAAATACAGTTCTTCCAGATTCTCCAGTGTACCTGGTGAAAATAAAATAATACAAAGTAGTATTTTTTTTTTGATTCATGTAGTTTATAACTTTTAGACAGAAGCACTAAGTCCACTTGAAGATTCTTTACTATGTAGAATCTAGAGTCAGGGACTCATCTAAACTCCTATTTTCAAGCACCAGAACCTAAGCAAGAACCAATTTGCTTTAGTTTCCCTGTAAAAATATCCATTACTACACCTCCTTTAGATAATAGATAGAATACACAGAATAAGAGAACTGAGAGCGACTTCACCATACCTGTTCAGCTGAGTGCTTTGCAATTGCAGGCAACAGTGAATAGCTATCTAGTTAGAAGGGCCTAGAAAATATTTATACCAGCCAGCATGCATTACCTCTATAAAATATCTATGCCATACCTTTTATTTAATTAGAACCCATACATTAAAGACCTGAGGCTGTAACTGTAATGTGCCACAGGAAGAAAGCAGGAGAGATCTCTGCACAGCAGTGAATTTATTAAATGGGACAAACCCATGTGAAAAATTCCTCCTGAATTCAAATTTTACAACCTACCTCTACTACAGATACTGCAATACAGATTAACCAGAAGATGGAAAATGGACTAATTTCTTCTTTCTTAAGACTTCCATTCCTCCACAGCAATCAAATACCAAAATTAATCCATATCTTTAAAATACACTCCAAACGAACAAGTCCTCCTCAAGACGTTCCCCATTTTCCAATCTTATATAACATAAACATCTCCTATAACCTAAAAGACTATTTCATCTTTCACAAGAGAAAGTAGTAGCCAGGGCTCAAGGCATGGAAAACCAACAAAAAGGAAAGGCCAAGAAATAATAGGAAATAGTTGCTAACTTTAGATGAAGCAGTCACATCTGAAAATAGCGAACTATTCTCTAATCTGTTAAAACAACCAGCTTTAATAACCGAATTGTACTCCTACAATAGTATTTCAAGTTTACTTACATACTTTAATTCCACAGCTCATTTCCACAGCATCCAAACTCTCTCCACTAACTTATAAACTAAATTACAAAGCTCCAGATTTAGATTGTTTTAGGCCCTTCTCACACTGAGGCGCATGTAAGACGAGCAGAGGCTGTAACGGCTCTTCACTAAAGATGCTGGGAGAGACGGACCATGTCCCAGCCATCTCCATCTGCACATCACTGTTTCTGACCACATTTTGCTTTCGGCAGCTTCTCCCATCATTTTTTCCTCCATAATGATTTCTGACTAAGATTTTACCTTAAGTGCTCAGAGTCATGCTCTGGAGGTACTTGTGACCAATTATAAAAGAAATGGGGGCTCTCAGTTTCAGATGCTCTGAATCTCATTTATACTGGGTGTCTCAAGTAGACAAAAAGAATCCTAATTCCTCCCTTTTTTCCCCTGTAGATTTCTTCCTTTTCACTTCCTTTTCTTGTATCATCAAGGTGAAAAATAATACAGTGCTCTACAAACAGAAGCATGTGCAGAGGGACTATCAGCAGAAACGTTTGCTTCAGCTGTCTACACCCTACACAAGGTTTTGTCTACACCATGGAATTACAGTAGGACCACTGCATTTCCTTTCTGACACAGACCTCTCTCCAACAACAGGCTTATGAAGTTAAGTGACTGATAACACACAACTTGTGGGAGAATTCGGAGAGAAAAAGGAATCTCGCTATTCCAGGTTAGCGTGTGTTTGGTAGCTTTCTGCAAAAGAACTGAAAAAAGCTAGACCATTTGTTTCACTACGGTTC